ATTAAAATTTTATATTAATAAATACCAAGTTGACTAATCTCTTTTTATAAAAGCTTCTTTCGCCGTGAAAGAAGAAAGTAAGGTGCATTGAATTGATAAGGTTATTCAATTGATGGTTGCATTAATGATCTGAATTTGAACTTTACCGTCATTAAGATGGCTTAGGAAAGACGGGGGTGACTCCAAGTTATATACCTTGCAACTTAAAGTCATAGAAGAGCTAATGAAGCCTTGGGTTGGTGTTGGGTTGGTAGGTAAGATATAGGACGATATATTTAATAACATGAAAGTTTTTATTTTTTTGGTTAAATTATTATTTTAGTTCTTTAATTATTATTTATACTCTTAAGTTAGTCTTTAAATTTAAAAAAATTTTAATTTAGTTTTTAAAATTTTGTAATTTGGATCTCGTTAAATTTTTGATGATGTGGACAAACTATCCGTTAACTAATTATTTTTTTAAAAACTTCTTAATATTATGTGGATATTCTAGGCTGATGTGGTGATTATTTTACATTAGAAAAATATTTTTTTAATTGAAAAAATGAGGTGGAAAATGAATAATCTTTTAATGTTAATTGGGACCCACCAAAATCAATAAATTAAAATAAAAAACTTATTAATGAAATTACAGGACTGTCCTCGTCTTTCTCACATGCTTCCTCCTCATTTTTTTCTGTAATTCAGTGCACTCTCTCATCTTCCTCCACCTCAAACTTTCTCTCTCTTAATCTTCAAGACAGAATCGTCAAAATTGGAGAGAAGACGAGCATTGAATTCCAAGATGAACAGGCATTGCTTTACGCAAATGAAGAGGATCTTCTTCTGGTTTCTCTAAGCCGATTTTTGGATGAATTTGGGCAGACAGAAAGAGCTGGGCACCATGCCTTACGAAAAAATTCCCCCGATTGTTAATAGATCTGAGTTTAGATGAGAGCGATGACGATGTAATTAGATCAAATCTTCGTTTGAACGACAGATCTGTGTTTAGATGACAAGCGAATATTGTCCCTTCCATTCTCGCATTTCTTCTCGGTTATGTTTAAAATGGATAATCCCTCTCCCTTTCCCTTTCTAGCTCTCTTTCATGTTGCCTCTCTCATTCTCAATCTCAACCTGGTTTACATAAACCTGCGCTAGCAAAGCAAATAGGCACTGGTTAGATTCAAGGCAAGGTCTCGAGAGAGATTTTGGTTTGTCTAGCTGAGAGTTTCAGATCTAACTCGCCCATCTACTTTCTTTTCCTCATCGCTCACATTTATCAGTCACCGCCCAATTTTGCTGCTTGCACTTGCCAATCGCAACTCGTCGCTCGCATTCGGTGGTTGTCGGTGGTCACTCGTGTTTGCGACTCATGTTCGCTGACGGGTTTTCCACGTTCTTCAAACCCAGTTTTCTTGCTGGAAATGGTTCTAAATGTTTGGTTTCCTACCTATTAAATTGATAATTTGCTGTGGGAATTATAGTCGTGATGTGTAATGAAAATTGTGTGTTTTGATCTTGAATATGCAATAAGAGATGCGAGTGTTGAATCGCGGATGATTTTTTTGAAGAACCCAGAAGAAATATTTG